TGCCCTCCACTAATATTGGCACCCTTGGTAAATATAAGCAAGGTGGCTGTGAAAATAAATCTGCATCATTTTTCCTTTTGATCTTTCATTCAAAAAATTCACAAAATTCTATCCTATCATTGAATTAAAACAATGGAAAGTGGGGGAAAATCTCAATATGAAATAAATGTTTTTCTCTAGTTCACATTGGCCACAATTATTGGCACCCGGTTACTGCAACATCCTTTTCCTAAGATAACAGCTCTGAGTTTGGAGAACACCTGACAAGAAATCAGAGATCCTTTGAATCTCTTGAATCTCTCCAGATCCTTCAGATTCCCAGCTCCAAGTTGGCGCTTCTTCTCTTCAGTTCACCGCACTCATTTTCTATTGTGTTCAGGTCGGGGATCTGGGACGGCCATGCATGGCAGAAGCTTCATTTTGTGCTCAGTGACACATTTTTGTGTTGATTTTGATGTTTGTTTTGGATCACTGTCCTGATGGAAGATCCAACCACAGCCCATTTTAAGATTTCTAACAGGGGCAGTCAGGTTTAGATTTTTGTTATTTGATAGAATCCATGATGCCATGTATCTGAACAAGATGTCCAGGACCTCTGGCAGAAAAATAGGCCCACAACATTAAAGATCCAGCAGAATATTTAACCATGGGCATGGGGTACTTTTTTTTTTTTATCTCTGTTTGCACTAAACCCATCTGGTGTTTTTTTTCTTTCTTTCTGACCATAGAATCCAGACAGTCTCTTTTAAAGTTTCTGACAACTGAATATGCTGGAGTTCGTTTTTAGATGAGCGAGGAGGATTTTTCTTGAAACTGGCACTGTAAATACACAAATAAATAAATCTGAAATGAAGAGGTGCAGCATTACATAATAAATAAATAAATAAAAACAAACAAACAAACAAACAAATAAATAAATAACCACATATTTTCTTACTTCTATAGGTGTTCATGCTACTAAAACAAATTTAACTTTTTTTTTTTTATCTCTGTTTGCACTAAACCCATCTGGTGTTTTTTTTCTTTCTTTCTGACCATAGAATCCAGACAGTCTCTTTTAAAGTTTCTGACAACTGAATATGCTGGAGTTCGTTTTTAGATGAGCGAGGAGGATTTTTCTTGAAACTGGCACTGTAAATACACAAATAAATAAATCTGAAATGAAGAGGTGCAGCATTACATAATAAATAAATAAATAAAAACAAACAAACAAACAAACAAATAAATAAATAAATAACCACATATTTTCTTACTTCTATAGGTGTTCATGCTACTAAAACAATTTTTTTTTTTTTTGTCCTTTTCTGGAGTTATATCATTTAACATGCAACTATGCAAATACAAAGGTACAGTGATCTGATATGCCTGAGACTTATATCAGGGTCTGCAGGGATCCTGTTGTGATATAATTTCCTGTCAAATGACAATATGATTTCCTACATTTTACAGTAGATCTACGCAAGAAGATTTATAATACCTGGAGAAAGCCCCCCAAAGTCTTGATTGTACTGCAGTTTTTGGAAAATTTGTGAAGGACAAGATTTTTTTATAATAATATAGTAGATTACGATACTATACTATATTATTATAATACTATACTACAGTAGTATTATTCATCTTATTATTAAGAAATAATAATTAGAGATAATGCAAAACTTTGCTACGGTTTATTTGTTTATTTTTCAGAATTTCAGACTTTTAACAAGACTCTTTTTTTATATATAATGACAGGATGGTTACAGCAGTTTGACAAGTCCTGCATAAAATAAACATAGAATTTGTTTTGTTTTATATAAATAGACCCAAACACAAAAATTTGCATCATATCTTTGACCCATAAACTATTGTGGGGAAAAATAATAAATTAAATGTATTTTTTCTAAACACTGTTTTTAAAGCACTTTTTTTTTTTTTTTACATAACCCATGTCCTTCTTGCACAGATAACACATAACTATGAAAGTTCCATAGTAATCTGATTTTCTGCATCTCAGCAGCTCTCTGAAGACTCTTCAAAAGAAGAAAAACGTGCTTTTCACACAAACACAGCCCGAAGTGCATCATAGCATTAACCAGCAATGGATACTGGTTAAAGAATATGATTCAAAATGAGAGGAGAGAGGCAACTGAAGTACTGATGTACCAGAGGCCAAATGTGTGTGATTGTGTGTGTGTGTGTGTGTGTGTGTGTGTGTGGAGGAATCCCCTGTGTCAAAAGACCAAGGGTGATCTGTGCTGTAGGCTGTGACACATGACTGTCACTTCCTCTCAGTCATATTCTGGTGATCATATCTCTATAGCAGTAGAGCAGCAGAGCTATTTTCACACATTTATAAATGCTCTGCGGTGGTGTTTATAATGATGCCTGTGTGATGCACAATTCAGAAAACATAGCTGCATACTGTATATATTTTAGCTAAGTAAGTCACATTCTTGAAACTACAAAAATCCATTCAAAACTTCCACATCCCACAAGTCAATGTTCAACCTGGATAAAGGTTTTAATAGTAGCTGCTTGTAAAGTGGAATTCACGAGAGAAGATGTTTTATCCATGAGTGACCTCTGCACACACAATCTGGGACACACAGATCACATGATCATGAGCCCCTGGTCACTGAATCAGTACAGACTGAGCAAATGTGTTTCTCTCTGTGTGTGTGTGTGTGTGTGTGTGCCTTATATTCCCTACATATTATTTTATTTATTTGTGTGTGTGTGTGTGTGTGTGTGTGTGTGTGTTTTGGTCCCCACAAGGAAAACATCTTATAAATCATACATAATGACGTTTTTTGAAAATCTAAAAAGTTTTGTGTGAGGGGTAGGGGATGGAAAATACAGTTTGTAAATTATAAAAACCATTATGGAATGTCCCAATAAAACATGGAGACCAGTGTGTGTGTGTGTGTGTGTGTGTGTGTGTGTGTATGACACACTCTACCCTTTGCTGTCGGTGCATACAGACATTGACACAAGGCACAGATCGCAGAGGGTTGCTTTTAAAACTTACTTAGTCACTGTGTTGCATTGTACAGTGTAACAAAGTATAACATTTTTACTTCTTTAACATTCAAAATGACACAACTTACTTATATTTCTCAAGCATGTATCCTAAAATCTTAGAGAAATGATTCTGATACATTAATTATTAATTAAATTAAACTAATTTAATTAAATTATTACATTATTATGATAAAGGATGCAGTATTATGCAGAGTATTATTTTGAATGTCATGTGAATATTATGTTGAGTGTCATAAGCTGTTAGGAATGTTGTATACTGAGTCATGTAATGGTTTATGTATTATGTGTTATGAATATCATGTATTATTATGAATGTCATGTGATGTTATGTCATGATTTACTGAACGTGTAATTTAATGTTACAGTGTCATGTGATATTATGTTTGCTACATTATGGTTTGAGTCAAGTGGTGTTATGAGTGCTATGATGTAATATATTATGATGAATTTAATGTTAAAATATTATACCATGAATGTCAATGTGATGAATGTCATATAATGTATGAATGCCATGCAATGTTATTTTCGCTACATGATAATTTCAGCCAAATGACTGTTATGCAATGTTGTAAATTTCACATATTATTATGAATGTCACTTAATATTATTGTTTTATCATGTTTTGAATGTCATGTAATGTTGTGAAAGGCGTGTATTATTATGAATGTCATTTAATATGAATATTATATTATTTAATATTCTGAACATTATAACTGTTAATGTTATAAATTTGGTAGCATGTTATGAATGTCAAGCACTGTTATGAATGTAATGTTATATTATTTGAGTGAATGGGTGTTGTGCAGTATTATAATATGTTTTGAATGTTATGCAATATTACAAATAGTAGGCTATAATGTTTGGAATGCATTTTGTCATTTCATGTTACGAATGCCATGCCAATGACTGTCGGTGTTATAAATTTCATGTCATGTTATAAATGCCAAGCAATGTTATGAATGTCATGTATTATTATGAATGCTATGTAATATTATATTCGCTATTTAATAATTTCTAAATGTAATTTATTGTTACACTATTTAATGCTATAGTTTTATCCTGGTATGAAAGTCGTGCCATGACTGTCAATGATGTAAATGTCATGTAATGTGTTTTCAGAACACACCAAACCGACGCGTGCAGGGGTGCTGGGATTCCCTGATCGGGATCAGTTGTAGCGTTGAGTGTGAATATGGCGTTAATTCTTTCAGGACTTTGTGAAATTATACCCAATAATTCAATGTCTTTATTATTCACCTGAGCTCTGTGTGATCTACTCTGAACTGGACACACCGGACACCCCCGCATCCCTCGTCCCTCACCCTCGCTCACCTGTCAATGACCGCGTGCAGGAGACGCGTCACGCTCGTGCGCGCGCTACGAAAACATGGAAGCGCTTTAAAGGCCCTAGAAGTAGACGCACTAGAACGAGCCAACTCGTCCAAGCGTACGATAATGAGAATGTGTCATACAATCAGAGCGTTTGTGTTTCGTCTGCAGTTATATCAACATAATGAGTCTAAACTCAAACGTTGACACGGAAATTATTAATAGACACTAAAATGAGAGCGTCATAATAAGAGCTAATTTAGTCTGTCTTCCTCAATGGTATCATGGAAAATATAACGCCCATAAACACAACGTCCATTAACGATGTTGTGTAGCTTTCTTTTCTTTTCTTTTCTTTTCTTTTTAGAGATTCATTAAATAAAATTGTATTACCCTTTTTAATAATATAATCTTTAATAATCTTCCAGGAAGGTTCTGTGAAGGAATACAATGGGGTTCTGTAAAGAGATAAAAGCTATTTTTATTTTGTTTAAATTATTTATTTCTTGCCAACAATTTTAACTTAATCAGAATAATTTATACTGGGGGTCCTGGTGTGGCTAAGAGTGTGCATCAGAGGTTAATCATCATTTATGTATATGAAACTTTGTGGGTTCTAGTTGGTGTACATCTGCACTGTCACTGTCATTAGGTCGCGCGCACGAAGAGCACGAGCGCCGCTGCGGTGATCGTGCCGCGCGCTCCAGTCTCAGCAGCAGGAGGAGCGTATAATCCTCTCGTTTAATGTTGACAGCGACGCGACACGAGCGATTTTAACAATTCTATGCAGGAAATCGGACACTGGGACGCATATTTGAGCAGAGCCCGTGTGTGTTTAAACGCACGGGGTGTCTAGAGACGGATGAGCGGCTGTCAGGCCGAACGCCGTCGGATGGGATTCCCGGTCTAGATGGAGAGTAACGTTAACCGAGCGAGCGGAGAAGCGTCGCTGCTGTAAATAATTCAACATCGGCGTGATCAACAAAAATGCATCTGCACCAGGTGCTGACGGGAGCCGTTAACCCGGGGGACTGCTGCTACTCCGTGGGAAGCGTCCACGACATCCCGTTCACGGTGGGTGAGAAATAAACCTGCGCGGCGCGTTATTTAACGCCTGTGCGTGATCGATGATCAAGCGTGACGCGTGTGCATGCAGCCTGTGTGGGCATCATCATCATCATCATCATCCTCACCACCACCATCATCCTCTTGATGTGTGTATGGGTTCAGTGTGCCATCTGTCATCCTCAAGGTTATCTGCGGTGTGTGTGTCCCTGCAGATCAGTAACAGGCGCGCACACACACCCCTGCGGTGTCTCTATCTATGCAAACTCTTAACATGCATGATTGTATGACATGCTATGCATGTTTACAGCCGGTTGCAACGCTCACTCACGACAATAATGATGATATGGAGCTTGAAGGTTGATGTCGGTTGTAGCTCACAACCTAGTTAGTACCTAGACAGCATCAGACGTGCAATGTGATGCCCAAATATGCAGTCTATGAAGGTTGTCTTAGTAGGTTATGAGACACTGCCATTGTGGTTGGATGTTGAGCCCATCAGCTGTGCACACAATGACGTCACAGAGTACAGTTGACAGGCCACAGTCTCTAATGTAAAGATCTAATCAATGCATGTTATGCACTAACAGTGAATTAGGCCTGCATTGAGAATGTTTATTCAATTCAGAGCTTCTATTTGCACAAGTGTATCAAAAAGTATTGCTTAAAGGTGTAGTGAACTCAAAACATAAAATATGTAAGTAATATACACCAAGGAATGATTGCATTACATGCATTGCATGGTTATATCTACAGTATGATGCTAAAAAGCCCAGTAAGGTAACCAGTACCAAATACATTACAGTTGTTGTTGTTTTTTGCCGTTGTAACCATAAAACATGCAGAATGTCTAGCAGGAATGTGATTCAGCAAGCTGTTCGGCTGCATTCCTCCCTAGCCATTTCAATCTTATTGAGCCCATCGTGAAGACTGCGGTGATCAGTGCTGGGATATTACTGGCTGCTCATAAATATCTGCTGTCAAATGATGTAGGGTAGACGACGAGCTTTTGAAACAATCAAGCTATGTCTTTTTAAGGGAAGGTGCTCTGTTGTGCGCTTTGATTAGTCTGGCAGTCATAACAGTGGCTTCCACACAGCAGAAACAAGAACTGAAACCTGTTATACAATCTGTATATTTCTCTGGTTTAACGCAGGTTCTCCATCAGAAAGTCCACACACAAGCTTTCACGTGATTAGGTCTGCGGCTGACAGTTCAGGAGATCAGTTTCTCTTTGGAAATGATTGTCGTTGGCTTGCGCAAGAGCTGTGTTTGGGCATGTGTGACCAGGTGCTGGTGAATTCTTGTCAACTTTTTTGATTTTGAAAGCCCCTTGTCCAACACAATATTCAAAGCCCCCCGCCCCCACGCCATATTACATATAAGATATTTGGTCCCACTTTATATTAGGTGTCTTTAAATACTATTTACTTAAAGGCAGAGTAAGTGATTTCTGGTAGCCAATGTTGCTTCTGCGAGGCGTATTTGGAGTTTCAGCGCGAGAGCGCCCTCTGGCCTTTGGATGGAGATTTACTGCTGATCACAGAACTGTGCTTCACTGAAAGATACGCATGACAATCGCAGCTTCTGTCGAATCGCGATCTCGATTCCATTTCGATTTATCGTGCAGCCCTAGGTACAATGTACCTGTTGTGTTCATGTTGAATTGCAAATAATTTTTGCTGATACGGGTAAGGTTAGGGATGGGTTTGGTGGTCAGATTAAGTTTAAGGGGTAGAGGTAGGCTCAACAGAGTAATTAGAGATATAACTACAGAAATTAATTAGAGCTGTAATTACAGGATGGTATTTTCAAATATAAGTACAATATAAAAACTTGTATGCACCCAATAAGTGCATTGTATCAAATGATCTATTTATGTTTTCAACATTGATGATAATAATTAGATATATTTTGAAAGGATCATATGAATACAAAAGTAATGGCTGCTGAAAATTCAGCTTTGCCATCACAGGAACGTTATATTTTTAAATATATCCACATAGAAAACAGATATTTTTAATTGTAATAACACTTCAGAATAGTACTGTTTTTTACTGTATTGCTTATCAAATAAATGCAGTCATAGTGAGCATAAGAAACCTCTTTCAAAAACATTAAATAATCTTAATTATTTCAAATGTTTGATCGGTGATGTATATGCAATTAATTGTGGTTAATTAATCATGATGTCAGTTTTTACTAAGAAAAGTTCACAAATTAAAATATTTGAAAGGCATTTATATTATCATAGTGGATTAGTAAAGCATTGGATAGCTAAATAGCTTCAGAAGACTTTGGGCATGTGAGAGCTGTCAGTCTCACTTTCTGGGTGTCTGTCAAGCCTTTTGCCTTTTTCGCTTCCTGCTTACCGCATCCGCATGACAGTTGCACACAATACAGCAAACCCACAGACTGCCAAAGGAGGAACATATTAGTTTATCATTTCATTTATCTTTTGCTGTCATACAGGAAGGCATGGTGTTTTTGGGCCCGTGAAGTGGTGGGCTGTAGTGTGTGTTTGTGAAGAAATGCTAGCTGTCATTGGACATGGCATAAAAATACACCCCAGCACGGTGTGTCTGAATATGTTATGGTCACGCCATACTCAAGGCTGACACACACTTTCACTTCTGTAGATGCCTCATCCCGGGACCTGCTGGGATTAGCCAGCGGGAGTGGGGGGGTGGATCAAAGCACTGGAGGTGCCTTTGGGTTTTATTTGGGTGCTGTAACCTCACTGGAATATGATTTCATTAATAGTTGCAACATTCAAAGATGCTTGAAATATTTTATATGCAAAAATATAGCTTATGCCTGCCAGTAAACATGAGCTGATGTTTATCGCTTAACTTATGACGCGTCTCAACAAGCAGCCGTGCTTCCTGGTTCTTTAGACAAACAGCTTGTGGAAATGAGCAGCATTATTATCTATGGTCTACTGAAGGAAATTCTGTTATAAATTACTCACTCTCTTGTCATTTCAATCTTATAAGAAGTTTGTTTATCATCGGAACACAAATGAAGATATTTTTAACGGAACCCTGAAAGATTTCTGTCCCTTAATTAAAAGTCCATTCCACCATCAAATATTGTTAAAGTAATCTAGACTCAAGTGGTGAAGAGACACAATGGCTTTATATAATAAACAGATTTAACCCTGTAAAACATGACATGAAATAATAGTCTCGTTTTATGTAACAGTTTATTGAACCTTTAGACAAACTATTTTAAACAGTCTAAAACAAAAAAGGCAGTTGCTGATATTTATATGACCAAAAAGTAAGAAAAGCTTGTAATGTAAATCAATAAAATCTTTGTAACAGTAAAGTAGACTACTTGCATAAAATGCATATAAATATCAGTTGTCATTCTATATATCCAAATAATATGTCTTAGTAAGATGTAATGTTTTCACGGTACCAAAATTTCAGTATTCGGTACCAATACCAGTGAAAATCCACGGTTCTCGGTACCAATTTCAGTACTAAAGCAAAACACGCTAATAAAAAAATTTGACTATACTTTCATTTAATCCAAACTGTGTACATATTTAATTTTAAAGGACTTTTAAAACCTTCTAGCGTTATTCAGCCAAGAATAGGCTTGCCGCGATAGACGGTGATACCGGTGTTAAGCCGCAACACCGGTTACGTCACTTGCCCACCGCGTCACCGACCCCCACCGTCGTTTAGATTTTTTATAGTAATAAAAATAATTTAGTTCAGTAAAAGAACAGACACTACAATTAAAAACTGAACGCGGCTGCTCAATGCAGTTGAACGACAGTTGCATCACAGATCAGATTTAATTTCTCCAGTGAGGAGAGTGAGTTGAGCTGACTGACAAGAAGAGTGAGGTGAGGTGAGACAGACAAGACGATCGTGGATGATTTAGTTTCTAAACTAAATGCAAAAGCACCTGTTTGGCAATATTTTATATTTTGAAAAGCCTGTTGACTTTTGCCATTTATCTAAGGTGATTTTGGAAGTTTTCTTAAACATCCTTTTCTTATTTAATTGGTTCCACATTGTTTGCTGATTTTTATTTTATTTAAACTTTGTGTCATTTATTTATTTTATTTGGCATCAAGGTGTATGCCGTGCCTCCAAGCTTTAATCAAATAAGCGCTGCACTCACAAACGCTGCTCAGGCATTACAGACAAGATTAAATGAAAATTACATCCATAATTTTCGGTTTCCTTCAGAAATACAGTGATATAAAAACACCCGCACCGGGTTTCGACTTTGACACGTGCA